TCTCATATCTAGTACCAGTACTGTACCAAAAATTGTTGTTAAATACTCAAAAGAAGGAAAAGACTCGTTAGAATACTATATAAGCTAGTCGTTAGAATATTGACGACCATTAGCGTTGCTTCTATGCCTGTTAGACAATAATCAGCACTTTTTTTTAGCAAATTATAGTTAGCTTTTATCAATCGCTCCTCGCTTAGCATTTAACCCCGTACATTTTCTCAGTGTGCCATCGATTGTGTCCGCTACCACTTCTAGACAGTAGCAGGAAGTAAAGTTTAAGCAGGAAACTGTGCTTCGATAATAGTGTAATGATAGTATACTGTATTAATTTAAAAGGGCTAAAATTAATAATGCGATGGAAATACGCGTAATGCACCAATATTTAGGAGTTCACGATATTTACAATACTCTATCTCTCGTAACTGAATACGCCCTCCAAAACATTCTTATATGAAAGCTGCATGGTACTGTATAAACTAATGATTTATTTTATCTAGTCCATAAAATATAGCATTTCACTTCCTGAAATTGCATATGATCAGATTTATACAGTACAACATAGTATGAGCTATAAAATAATCCGTCAACGCAAACGGTCACCAGTTATGAATAACTTATAATCCCAACCCCCACCCGATAAAAGAGGGCTGAAGTATATTTGGTTATACTAAATAGATATCCGTAACATCCATAATCTTTCACTAAGTGACTATAATTATAAAGCCTTAAAGGAAATAATCCGTAGTTGCTAACTCTCCTTAGGTTTTATTACAGAAATATCTACTATACTAAATCAAATACTGTGTTTCATGGAATAATTAGATGAATTATAATCATCTACGACTGCATGGGCAATCTCTTGTTGTGAAAGTAGTTCATCAAAAGTATCATTATATAGGACTATGCAATGATAATTGTCAGATTTATAAAGTACAATAAGCATCCAGATAATGAAGCAATTGTCATACTCATGACAGTTATTAATAGTCCTTAATGGAGTCCATTCCTAATTAGTAAAGGCATCTACCACAGTAATCGCTTATCCATGGCGCATAATTCTTTCCATGTTGGTTATGCCAGAACCAGAGTAAATAAAGATTTGGTCATGCTGTCCACATTTATCTAGTAAGATTTGACGAACTTTTCATCATTTTGATTGGCATCATGAAAATCAGAT